TTTGTGGTCCAAGTGGCAGCTATATATGCTGTAGCTTCTTTAGAACATGATGAGAATCCAATGTTTGATCATTATTGTAAACTAGAGCAATATTTATTTGCAGTGAATTGAACTAACCTAACTTTGAGGTTATTAATTTTAATTTGAATATGTAGCCCTTTGTCAGTTTGCATTGATTGATAGTATTATTGAAATCTTAAATTATTGAGTTATACTATTTTAATTTCTTAAATTACACACTAAATTGTCTATTGTAAGGACAATGTCTTTAGTATTGATGGATGCTTTTATATTGTTGTCCAATCAAATGATTGGACGCAACCTAACTATAAACGTAAAACCAGTCAATTCGTGATGATTTCATCCTTAATGTGACCGCAGGAAATGGGGATTTGAGAAGCTAGTATACAAGGATGTGAAGAGAGGAATAAGAAGGGACAGGAAATACGCGGTGCAACCGCGCAACGTTATAGCAACGGGGGTGCACATGTCACAAAACACGGTGGGCAAGACGACTCACAAGACGGAGGGAAGGATCAAGTATTTCCACTATCACGGGACGATAGCCGAACACAGGGAGCCATGTCGACAGCTGGTCAACGCCACGACGATCACCGTTGACCAAATCCCGTATGAAGTGGACTCAACAATGAGAGACATTGCTGGAACTGTGAAGAGATTCGAGCTCAAGATGATTGGATCTACACTACAAAAAACTAGACAATAGTGAATGAAGTCTATATTTACTACTCCACTTGTTTTTTTGAGGTTCTTTCTCTGTATGATAATTTTTTATGTTATTTTAAGATAAGATATAGAAACAACAGAGACAGGTGGTACATGTTTTGGTATAATATTATAGGATTACATTGGTGTTTTGTACTTAATAGTAATAAGGTTTTTCCCAATGCACTGAAGTGATTCCTTTTCTTCTTCTTTTTTAATGATAATTGGCTGAAATTTGGGTAATAGTGTCGGTGGTCCAACTGCATGCCCTTAAAAAAAAAATATTTTCTCAGTCTCATTTTAGGTGATATCAGTTGATTTGACATAATATTTAAGAATTTTTTTAAAAAAATTATAATTTAAAATATTTTTTAAATGTTTGTGTGGTTGAAAATTATTTAATTAAAAATAAAATGAAAATTTTAAAGATAGTTACAGACGGGGAATTACATAATTTCTTTTAGAAAGAGCTCTAAGATGGAGACGTTATGTTATGATTGTCGTTTTTTGCTTTGCGAAAGGGACCTCAACTAACTTTATATTCATTCTTTTAGGATTCTTGATCATCATGATTTAGTTAGTGCTTTTTTTAATAAAATATATTAACTAAAAAATTACCAAACTATGAGTTGATTTTATCTCTTTTCTTTAATTTAATGTGAGATCATTTATACTTATGTGTAACTCATGCATTATGTGTTGAGCATTAATTACCTACTTTATTTGGTATTACAATATATATATATATATATATATAAAATTAATACATGATGTTAATAATGTAACAAATTTTAATATATGCATTAAAGATTTAATTATTTTTCAAAATCTTTTCTCTATTCTTTCTACTATATTTATAGAAGATATTTTTGTAAATAAAAATACCTTACTTCATATTATTTTTAATATATTAAATCAATTATATATAAAAAATAATGTTAACATAATTGATACAAATATTATTAATATTAACATTATTAATATATAGACTATATTCAACACTATTCTACACCTTACGCGACCCGTTAGTTTTCATGTTATAAAGCAAAAAAATGGATAATTTATCAAAGTGGTGGATGACAGAAGGAGCTTTATTGGAATTCTTTAAATCATTTAACTAAACCTGACATGGAAAGAAAAGATGAGCAATTTCTTGACTTTGTAAACAAGCCTACTCTAATTAAACTTTTTTTTTTTTTTAATCTATCACCTTTGCTTAAATTTGCATGTGCCTATTAATAATGATGCTTTTAGTAAAGGTAGAAATAAGTGGATGTTTGGACATAAATAATACTATATACTTTGAGACAAAAAAGTATTAAAAAATAATATTCAGAAATTGGAAGTTATTTGCATATGAATATAACTTGAAAAATATATTAATAAATTTTGTAACTAATTTAAAGTGATTTATATATATTTTTTTAAAATGAATAATTCTCGTCATCAGACGAACAATTTCTTCATTTGGAAAAAAGTGTTGATGTGTTTGTGAAGTTTTGGTGTAGTGTAAGTATGTTGCCATTTGTCTGTCAACGTGTGTGAAACTCAATAGCCTAAAACACAATATGAAAGGGATATAGATGTATATGCACAGTTTAGATTTTGGATAATGACATAAGTTTGGTGGAAAATTAATTTGACCTATTTCATTTTTCATGAGTCGGTAAGGCATATTTTTCGTATGCGATCCAATTTTTAAGAATTATGTGACTTTCTTAGTATTTTATGTGTATTAGTTTATGGATCAAGTGCCTTGGAGTATTTCAATTTTATTTTTAAATGAGTTGGAAAAGGATTGTGTATAATCTCATCATTTTTTAAGGCATACTTTTGCATTTATGAGCTAATTTTTAAATTAACCGACATTCTTGGTTTCTATGTGTATTAGCCTATGGATCTGACGCTGTAGAGTACCTCAATTTTTTTTTTCTGAAAAAACTTAGTGAGGACATCCGTAAAGAGTTGGAGAAGCATTGTGTATGGTCCACCATTTTAAGGCATATTTTTACATTTACGAGCTAATTTTGTTCGTGTGTACCTATGGATCTAGAGCCTTGGAGAACCCAAAAAAAAATACTAATTTTTTTTTATAAGAATTCGTAATGAGTTGGGGAAGCATTGCGTATAGTCCCACCACTTTTATAAGACATATTTTTGCATTTACAAGTCAACTTTTAGGAATTAATCGACTTTCATGGTTTTCGTGTATATTACCCCATGGATTTGGCGCCTTGGAGAACCTAATTTTTTTTTTCCTGAAAAACTTTATGTGGACATCCGTAATGAGTTGGGGAAGCATTGCATATAGTCCCACCATTTTTAAGACATATTTTCGCATTTACGAGCCAATTTTTAGGAATTAGCAGACTTTATTGGTATTTCGTGTGTATTACCCTATGGATCTGGCGCCTTGGAACACCTAATTTTTTTTCTAGAAAAAACTTTATGAGGACATTTGTAATGAGTTGGGGAAGTATTGCGTATAGTGCCACCATTTTAAGACATATTTTTGCATATACGAGCCAACTTTTAGAAATTGACAGACTTTTTTGATATTTTGTGTGTTAGCCCATGGATTTGATACGTTGGAGCGCCCAAAAAAAAATCTAATTTTTTTTTATGAGGACCTCCGTAATGAGTTAGGGAAACATTGCGTATAGTCCCACCATTTTTAATGCATATTTTCGCATTTACAAGTCAACTTTTTGGAATTAGCCGACTTTCTTGGTTTTTGTGTTTATTAGCCCAGGCGCCTTGGAGCACCAAATTTTTTTCATGAGGACCAATGTAATAAGTTGGGGAAACATTGCATATAGTCCTATTATTTTTAAGACATATTTTCACGTTTACGAGCCCACTTTTAGGAATAAATCGATTTTCTTATTTTTTTTGTGTGTATTAGCCCATGGATCTGGCGCCTTGGAGCACCCAAATTTTTTTTTCTAAAATTATTTTATGAGGACCTCAGTAATGAGTTGGAGAATCATTGTGTATAGTCCCATATTTTTTTAAGGCATATTTTTGCATTTACGAGTCAATTTTTAGGAATTAGCCAACTTTCTTGGTTTTTTGTATGTATTAGCCGAGGGATCTAGCGCCTTGGAGCACACAAAAAAAAATTCTGAAAAAATTATATATGGACCAACGTAATGAGATGGGGAAACATTACATATAGTCCCACAATTTTTTAAGGCATATTTTCACATTTACAACTTACGAGTCAACTTTTAGGAATTAGCCGACTTTCTTGGTTTTTGTGCGTATTAGCTCATCCATCTGGCACCTTTGAGCACCCAATTTTTTTTGATAAATTTTATGAGGATCTCTATAATGAATTGGGGAAACATTGCGTATAGTCCCACTATTTTTTTAAGGCATATTTTCGCATTTATGAGTCAACTTTTAGGAATTAGCCGACTTTCTTAATTTTTAGTGTGTATACCCATGGATCTGGTGCCTTAAAAAAATTTGGGTGTTCCAAGGCGCCAGATCAATGGGCTAACACACACGAAAAAAATCAAGAAAGTTGACTTAAAATTGGCTCGTAAATGCGAAAAATATGTCTTAAAAAATGTTGGGACTATATTTGTAATGCTTTCCCAACTCATTACGAAAGTCCTCATAAAAAAATTTGGATGCTCCAAGGCGCCAGATCTATGGGCACACACGAAAAATCAAGAAAATCGCATAATTTCTAAAGATTGGCTCGTAGATACAAAAATATGTCTTGTCTAGGTTTGATTCATAATCCAAGAAACACCCAATTCAATGTATTTTGCTCATTTATGAAAATCAACCGAACTTTTTATTTTATTTTATTCTATTTTGAAATATATGGAGAATTGTTGGAAAAATGACTTTTATATCGAAAAAAGAAGTCTTAAAATTCATGTCTAAGTTAATTCTCTTAATATCATGTTAATGGATTTGATATCACAAACTATTCTTTGTATAGTGCTAGGTTTTCTTTTGTTTAGTCTCTATTCTATCTGCCTTTAGTTTATATTAGAAAAGTTTGTTGGAATATGAAATACATTTTTACTGGTGAAATGTCCTTAAGAATCATGTCATATACATCTCAAGTTTGTATGTGATCTTAAACATGTCATGTGGAAAGTTAAGAATTGCCAAAGAAAGAGACATTCTTTTTAAAACGGACTTAAAAAGAAAAGTAAGACAAACAAATTGAAATAAGAGTATATATATGTAGGGTTCGTGCTTAAAACATTGTCGAACCCAAAACCTGTGGTTGGACTTGGATCAGGCTCGGGTCATGCACATTGGGCTTCTAGGAGTGCATTGAAATCTTCCCTTGCCTTGCGCGTGCGAGGAGTCATGCAGGACGTAGGCAAGCCAGAGTCAGGGTCAGGGTCAGAGGTAGAAAAGCGAACATGGCGCGTTGTGGAGTCACTAGTTTTTGGTGTGGTGGTGTTCTTTAGGACCCCTTTTGGTTCCTTGTCAAAAACAAATCCAGCTGTTACTGGTGAACAAGTCATGTCCTTATCATCACTACATTGGATTAGCTCAATTGGTAGATCAAAGAAGAGATTGGAATCATCATTTTCATTTTCTTCATCATTGATTATAGCTGATGATGTCCATGATCCACATTCAAATTTCTCCAATGACACTTTTCTTGAAATATTGTGTCCAACATCATGTACTATTTCAGTTTCTATTTCTACCCTCCTGGCTCTCACTTGTTTTGTTTTTCCTAAACCAGGAATAAATAAACACATAGCACCACATTTGAACTTTTGATCAATAGATTCTGCTTTATCATCTACTTTGCTTTCTTCAACATGTTTAACACTACTACTACTATTCATTACCTTTGTGATTAATCCAACAACATGTTTATCCGGTGGCGCACTTGATCTTCCTTCACCACATGACTTGCTCCTCCTTAAGTGATCTTCTTTCAACCGTTGGAGGTTTGCCAGTGCCACAGAATGTTGCCTAGCCAAAGGGTTGTTGGAGAGAGGAGAAGGTTGGCTTTTGGACTTTTTCTTTGATGCAAATCTAGGTGATGAAGTTGTTGAGTTTGGAAGGCTGTTGCTCAAGAATTTCTTTGATGGTGGCCTAGGCAGAGGAATTGTTAAAATGTCAGATTTTTTATGTGTATTTGTTGATTCTTTCAAGGAAATAGGGAAGTCAGATTCATTTGAATCTTGAACATTTATGAATGAAGGCATATTTGAAGTTTGGAGTGTGAAAGTTGAGTGAGAATTGAGATGTCCATCAACTATAGATTTTAGGTATTTAAGGGGGGAGAAAGCTAAACATAGATATTGTGGGAGACATGTCTTTGTATTGTATTATATCTTAGTTATGATTGTCACGTCTTTTTGTCCCAACGTGTGTGGAAAACAAATCTCATTAATATATTATACTATGCCATACTTTGACCTAGCATCAACTAAGTGGACAACAAGTTCTCTAGTAACCAACCACCAAGCACAAAAGTGAAACCAAACTCTAATACCCTCTTTATGCACAAACCTAATTGAAAGAGTTTAAACCTGACTCTTATACCAGTAAAAATATGACATTTAAGTCCGACACATTCCCAAAATCTAATTCTTGAGAGGAGATCATTGTTCAAGTTCATATAAGCATACCATCAATGATCCAAAGCTATTGAGTTCTACCGAACCCATTGCTAACATTCTTGCTCTATAACTAACATTCCTCTATTGCCCTACCTAAATATATTGATTCGAGTCATGTGAATAAGAACAATGGACCTACTTGACTCTATAAGCTGAATTAGTCAGGCCAGTGAATTTTAGATTCCGGATGCCTAAGCAAAAAAGAATTATATTAGCATTTCCACCGGCATCAAAGGTTCAATGTTTATTGTACCCTCCAACTCAAAAAGAATAAAGAAAATCTCAAAATATTCTTATATTATGTCTGGTGACTACTATATTTTAGACAACTTAATTCAGAGTTTTAAATTCAAGTTTAATAAAATGAACGTGCAATCACACGGTTGAATATAATATAATGGAATTATACAACTAACTAAATTATTGAGATGAGACGATAAAACACCGTCGCGTATGCAAGAGATCTAACTGATTCACTTACATATAGCTAAAACACACATTCACTCAAAATACATCATGAGCTCTATATTAGAACTGATACAAACATACATTTTCTATGACAAAATTTAAGTTTCCACTATTGTTATGATTGGAAGGACAAATCGTGTACACTATCGACCCTGCAAAAATGCCAAAAGGTGTATCACTGTAGAGAATTATAGAACAGAATCAACACAACAGAGATGCCAATGATGACTGGTAATGCAGAGACCAAGTATAAAGCTCCATATCCCTGCATGAAAATGTCCCTCGTCAGAACCAGCTCCAAATGAAGCGGTAATGACAGCAACATATCTAGCCAAGTTCTATATTACAATTAGATTTTATGATTTAAGTTTTATCTCAATAAGCACCTGATCTCCCTAATCAAGCACATAGTCTAAAACTAAAACCTACAGTTAAGAGAATTTTCCATAATTACTACTTGATGGAGCTATATTATAATGCATCTGAAAAGATTTGAGCTCTTTGCAACGATGCTTTTTTCTACCAGGATCGTATTCTTTCATGAAGCTAACATTTTTCTGGGCTACCAGCTAAACTTGATCTATAGACTGTTGGCCAAGCTTCCAAAACAGCTTATTTTGAAAAATGATTTTCGAAAAAAGTACCGTTGAAAATAGCAATTTGTGCTCGACTAATAAATTGAGAAAGAATTTTAGCATATTATAGCAACAATTTGTGCATGCTAATGTTCCAAAAGTGCTCACGGAAAAAAACTACCTTTTTCGCTTGGCCAAACACCTTTACTATCTAAAATGAGCATTCTTTTAAAATAAAAAAAGTACTTTTGGGTTTTGGCTTCCCAGAAGCTTGGCCAAACAGGATTAGTCATGATCTGATACTTTTAACTTTTCAAGAAAAGTGAACTTGTTGTTTTGCCAGGTATTCACTCAATAACATGTAAAAATTGGTGCATTTAACATACTCCATTAAATTGCAAGCTGATTATCGGGAATAGAACTTAGCCAGCCTAATGAACAATCAGAACATGAGGAATAACCAGAGAAATATCTAAGCATTTATATCGTCGACTAACCAGAACTGGAGGAATGTCTGGCTCGTCACTATCAGCTGCCTCCTCAATCTCAGCTGCTGAATCCCAGTCAATCTTGAGCCGCTTAGCAGCCTCTTTTGGATCAATACCAGTGTCTGTGGCTTTTGCATACAGGGATCTGCTCTTATTTTGCTTCGAGGCTTCAACCTAAATCCAACAAGAATACAGTATAACTACTAATTGTCTGAATGATGCAATTGGTGCCACTACAAAGACATCGCGTTCCCAGGGGATGTACAATCAATCAAATAGGCTCTTTTGATTTCAAGAAATGAAAAAAATTAAATCAAGATTATTTGTAAATGGAATTGTCCAGATCAAGTAAAAGCTTAATACATGAAAGAAATAGTACTGGTGTACGAACTTTCAAAAAGAAAGAAAAGAAAAAAGAAATGATTTCTGCTACTTTTCAGAAAAGCAGAAAATTGTTTGGGAAAGATATAAAACTGTCCAGAAATCAAAACTTGAGGAGAAACTATTCAACCAATAAATCAGTGTTAAAAATTTCAATGCGATTAAAAGATTTCATTTTGATCAGCGTATTTGACTTTGGGAGTGAAAGGTTTAAATTCACCATGGACTGGATGGTTTAGAATTTGCTTTCTGTTGATTGGCGTAAACTGATAAAGTTTCACTAACATATCTCCAAGCCATTCAAGCTAACTTTTATTAGGGAAAAAAACTCGACCTAAAGGTCAAATTATTGAGATTTTTCTCCCTGAGCAGTATACATCCCTCATTTAAAACATAAGAAAATTAAATTTCTTATCAGAGGCACCTCATTTACTTTTAGCTGACTCACTACTAAAAAGGAGTCTGCTAAAGAAGTAGTAACTTGTTGAATTTTTATTAATTTGAAATGCAAATCAAGACCACTTCTTATCCATGGTCTGGATTGGAACATTTCTCGATCTTCGATAAAAACCTGAGTAATACTATTGCAGTCTCTCCCCACCTCCCAACCCCAATATTAAGTAGGTCAATCTGATTCTGGCTATTAAAAACTGGCACATTTTATTAGAATGACTGATAACTGCATAAACCTGCTTCAAAAAGCATATAGTGTGTTTGTCAACCTACTATGCAGTGCAGTTGAATAAAATTGTGAAATCAAAATATTAGAATGCTTATGGATGACTTTGAGACATAAGTGAACCTAGTAATGCATTTGTTGGCCGAATGCTAAGGAAGAAAACAATCAAGCAACCTTATAGAGAATTGAATTACTACTTCACAGCCCCTCCCAAACTAAAAAGTAAGTGTTTTTTCTGCCGCACAGAATGGAAGATGAACTGCGAGCATTTACTATCATGCTTAATTGTAAAATTGTGTCCAGAAGAATGTTTGAGGTCACAGTAATACCTCCAAATTAGGCCATGAATTCATCTCTTCTGCAAGCATCTGCAGAGCAACCCGATCTTTTGGTACTTTTCCTTCATTTATCTTCAACAAGAAATAATAATAATAAAGGATTTAGCAAGGCCTTAGGAAACATATACTTAGAACCATGTACTGCAACATTAAGAAGAAAGAAATAATTAATGAGCGCTTTAAAGACAACCAAAGCCTTGATCCTTCAGCCGATTGTTGATCAAGGAACATTTAGAATTTGAATAGATAGTAATTTGGTCCAACAAAGATGCTTCTTTTACATTACATTCAACTAGAAACAATTTGATCTATAGCTGTGCATATAAAACTCATTGAGAACCTATTGAGGTAAGCAAGAAAAAAGAAAAAAAAAAAAGACCTTCTAAATTTTTTGCTATTTCACTGTCTCATTTTGTTTATGACATATTTCCCTTTTCAAGATGTTATGAAATCTTCGACACAGGTCTTCAATATCAGTGTATGTAATCAGCGTGATTCAAATAGCTATGGCTTATTTTAGACTACAATTTCAAAAGTCTATCTTTCTTACTTAAACTCCGTGGCTAGTCAAACACCATCACATAAATTGAGACCGAGATAGTAATATTTTAATTATCTTCCTTGAGAGCATCAATTTTTTTTTCTTATGATGACTCGCTGATACCTATTTAGGTTCATTTTCATATTTTCTCCATATTTCTACTTTAACTCAACTATCACATTGTCAGACTATATGAATATGTATCTACCATGCTGAAATTTTATCTTTATTAATATTTAGAAATCTGCATGTAAATGCCATCTATGGCTATCAAGTTTGTTCTTCGCAAACAAAACCTCAAATAACATCTTCTATCGGTCCATATACGGAAATTTTGGTATTGCGTTGTCATCGAGAACCTCTGTTCAATTGAGCAAACTTTGTATCCGCGTGATTCAAATATCTATCTGATTCAAGATGTTATGAAATCTTCAACACAGGTCTCATTTGTTCTATTCTTATCATCAATCATTTTATCAACTACGCTTGGATCACAAGCAGATGATCATTCTAACTAGATGTCCTATATTTCAGGTAACATCTGGTATCAGCAGATATGCGGGCTTAGTAGTCCAAATCATAGCTCCAGGTCACACTTCCAGAACCAGATTACAACTTTGATCGCAACAACAAGAAATATAGTTCAGGAGAAGCCTCCCGAGTAAAAAGCCATATAAATCGTCAGCATTGATTTGAGGCATTTGTGGAGCAAATACTTACTTCTTCTAAACAGGCAGCTAAGTCATCCCTTGTTGGAGCATTTTCATCATCAATGCCAAGCAGCCGCCTTCGCTCAACGTCCCTGGGATCTTCAATCATTATAGTCAATTTAACCTGTAATAAACTCAAAGGAGTTGGTCAATCTAGAAACAATTTGACATTTAAATTACCCCATAGAGATAGTTAACTAAAACAGTCTACCAATTAATTAATCAACTATTCCTCAATCCCAAGTTAGTTGGGTTTGACTATGAGAATCTTTAGTATCCATTCCACAGTATTCAAGTCCATTTCATTTCAGTACTGAAAGACAAAACAAACAAATTAAGTCTCTTTCAATTTACACTTGTCTAAATCTCACGCTTACTCCTACATGGACTTACATGTCCCCGA